GCCACCCTGAGTTGCGTGTTTCTAGTTTTGCCCTGCCCCTTATCTAGCCTAGGGGGTGTGTCAACTTATACATATGTCAACTTATAGGCTAGATAGGGTTATATTCTTAGGGGGTACAACCCCAACCCTATATCTCCCTTCACTTGTTTCAATCATTCTAGTATTCTTACACTAAGCCCTCATTTGTATCGACACTCGTGAATAACGATTCCTTTATTACACTACCTGCTATTACTCTGATTAATTCATTACACGAAAGGGGCATGTAACCAAGATTGTCTCACAAAATCATTTTCATGAGAATCGCGCCAAGTCGGTTTCACTTCGGAATCCCGATCGATTGGCGCGCCAAAGTACCAGATCGCCCATCTTAAATAGTCACGAAATCTACAAAGCTTCGCGAAGCGAAACCAAAACACGATAAAATAATGGTTGGAATTGTTTTGCGAAATAATTGTCTGGTTTACGTGTTTTGGCGAATTTTGTTGGCGAGACAAGCATTTGCAGAGCTGCAAAATTATATCGAGGATAAAAAACTGCAAATCTGGTACATGATGTTAAAGCGCGTGACCCAAGAACGATCAAGACTCAAAGTCTTTGAATCTTGGTCCGAGAGCGAAATTCGCACAGGGGTTGAGAAACGAAAAATGGGATTGGGGAAGCGCGAATGTCACGGACCACGCCTATGGGAGATGGGCGACGTTTTGGCGACGAGTGGAAACAGGGAGGGTGAGAACCAGAGTTGGGGAGCGTACAATATCGAGAAAAAACTGACCCTACTATGTAACTTGGACTGTCGGGCCAAAGATGATCGGGCAAAAGCACAAATGAGTCACCTGAAACACGAAGCAAAATATTGCGGAAACACGCCCGGCCTGGCCCCAACCGAACCCACTGGTAACTATATTACAAAGCTAAATCTACAACATGAACCCTATGTAATTGTGTAACTAAAGTCTGCAAAAAACAAACAATGAGCTCACACAAAGGCCATGCGTAACAACAGCAATATAGTACATAGGATAGATGTATTATGGCTGTTTCTTTTCAAACAGAGTATGTTATAACAAAGTTTTTTTAATCTACACGAGCCTTAAAGGTGTGGTGGTGCGAGGGAGAGCGTGGAAGAGGTGGGCAGAGTGCAAGTTGATGCGTGCAGTGCCCTGCGCGTGTCATGACCCACTGTTGGGAGAGCAAGGCGAGGGGGAGGCAAACAGCAAAGAAAGGGGGTAGTGAGTGAATGAGGGGTGAGCAGAGGGGACCAGGAGGATGAGCTGAGGCCAAGGAGTGGGTGAGCTGAGGCCAAGGAGTGGGTGAGCTGAGGCCAAGGAGAGGGGGAGCTGAGAGGCAAGAGTCAGTCCCCACCATCACAACCTCACTCCTGCCTTGTAAATCAGGGTGACAGGGAGCAGGGGAGCAGGGGGAGAAACGGATCAAGGGGGTGGAATGAAATCAGGGGGAGACAATGGGAGCAGCGGAAAGGAATGACAGGGAAGTGGGGGGGGGGAGGGGGGGGGAGCGCGGATGGGAGAGGAGGACAGGGGGAAAGAGAGGAGGATAGGGGGAGAGGGAGAGGAGGATAGGGGGAAAAGGAGAGGAGGATGGGGGGAGAGGGAGAGGAGGATAGGGGGAAAGGGAGAGGAGGACAGGGGGAAAGGTAGAGGATGATAGGGGCAAAGGGAGAGGAGGATAGGGGGAAAGGGAGAGAAGGACAGGGGGATAGGGAGAGGATGATATGGAGAGGAGGACAGGGGAAAGGGAGAGGAGGACAGGGGGATAAAGAGAGGATGGTATGGAAACAGAAGGGAAAGAGAGGGGGCGCAGAGGGGAAAGAGAGGGGGCGCAGAGGGGAAAGAGAGGGGGCGCAGAGGGGAAAGAGAGGGAGCGCAGAGGGAAAAGAGAGGGGGCGCAGAGGGGAAAGAGAGGGGGCGCAGAGGGGAAAGAGAGGGGGCGCAGAGGGGAAAGAGAGGGGGTGCAGAGGGGAAAGAGAGGGGGCGCAGAGGGGAAAGAGAGGGGGCGCAGAGGGGAAAGAGGGGGCGCAGAGGGGAAAGAGAGGGGGAGCTGAAGGGAATGTGAAGGGAAAATGGGGGGAAGGAGACGGAAAACTGGGGAGAAGGAGATGGAAAACTGGGGGGAAGGAGATGGAAAACTGGGGGGAAGGAGACAGAAAACTGGGGGAAAGGAGACGGAAAACTGGGGGGAAGGAGACGGAAAACTGGGGGGAAGGAGAGGGGGAACGGAGGGGGGAAGGAGAGGGGGAACGGAGGGGGGAAGGAGAGGGGGGACGAAGGGGGGAAGGAGAGGGGGAATGGAGGGGGGAAGAAGAGGGGGAACAGAGGGGAAGGACTGGACAGGAGGAGAGGGGGGATCGAAGACGGGTAGAGCGGGAGGCAAGAGGAGGAGGCTGAAGAGAGGGGGATCTGAGGCAAAGGAGAGGGAGGAGGGGAGGGGAAAGAGAGGCGGTGGAAACAGAGAGGAGACGAGGGGAAAATGGAGAGGAGGATATGATGAAGAGAAGGGGATCCATAGACGAAGGGAAGGGAAAGGGAGAGGAAGAGATGCGGAAACAAAGAGGGAAAGAGGGGAACACAGGGAGGAGAAGAGGGAGAGAACTGGAGTGGAGAAGGGGGCAAAGAGGAGGGGAGATGAGGGGAAAGGGAGGGGGAGCTATGGGGAAAGAGAGGGGATGCAGAGGAGAAAGACAGGGGATGCAGAGGGGATCCGAGGGGAAAGGGAGATGGAGCTGGGGGGGAAAAGATTGGGGGGGTGTGGGAAACGAGGGGTAGCAGAGCTGAAGGGAAGGAGAGGATGAACTGAGGGGAATGAGAGGGGGAAACTGAGGGGAATGAGAGGGGGAACTGAGGGGAATGAGAGGGGGAAACTGAGGGGAATGAGAGGGGGAACTGAGGGGAATGAGAGGGGGGAACTGACGGGAGGGAGATGGGGAACTGAGGGGAATGAGAGGGGGGAACCGAGGGGAGGGAGATGGGGAACTGAGGGGAATGAGAGGGGGGAACTGAGCGGAGGGAGATGGGGAAATGAGGGGAAGATAGAGAGGATGAGGGGAAAACGGGTATGGACAGCATGGAAAATGGGGAGGAAGAGAGGGGGAAACATAGACGCGGAGAGCGTGATACAGAGGGAAGGAGCGGGAGGGAGCAGAGAGGAGGAGAGTGGGATCGGGGGGACAGCAGAAGAGGGGGAAAAGGAGAAGGGTAGAGTGGTAAGGGAGACGGGCGTCGAAGGGTAGGGCTGCAGCTGCGACCTGGTGAAGGGAGATGGTCGCGGAGGGGAAGGGTGAAGGCGGGGAGGGCTGCACGTGCGACGAGGGAAGGGAGATGGGCGACGCGGGGATGGGAGATGGGTGATGTGGGGAAGTGCGACTTGGGGGAGGGCTGCACATGCGACGAGGAGGACGGAGGAGGTTGACGATGGGGAAGGGACTTGGGCGAGGAGGGGATGGGAGATGGACCTTCGAGGTGAAACCCCGCTGAGTGGCGAGGGGACAGGCGAGGAGTGGCTCACTGGATATTCGTTGAGATGCGAATGGTCCAGCACGCGCTTGAAATTCCCCAAGTCTTTCGGTTTCCGTCGGTAATGCCCGGAGAAAGTGTAAGATAGCTGCGTGCAAATGCGCCTGGCGTTAGTGCTCGAAAATGCCTCGGCGCTTGTGTGCTAGGGCGAGATACCTACGTGCCTTGTATGCGTCGCCAATAAGGCAAAAAATGAGACTGCATTTGCTGTTGATAGTAAGTTAGGTCGTCATTCTCCTACGTTACGGCTGACATTGTCATGAGTCCCAAGTAAGTCCTAGGCACTTTGAGTCTTGATCCACCCTCCCGTCATTGCTGGTTGCAGGTGCGATGCTCGCAGTCGTACCCCAGCGGTGGTTGGGGGCTCGACCAATCACTTCTCGTCCTTCAAGGTTTACCTCTCGTCGCTGAATTTCAGGGTAACCGTGCGTACTCAAGTTGGGTTTCGCGAGCGACCAAGAATCAAAGACTTTGAGTCTTTATCATTCTTGGGTCACGCGCTTTAAAGTCCGTCCGGCAGGTTGCATATTGGTAATGTTGAAGTAGGTGGGTCGGCAGATTACGATTGGTTGACCAAGGAAAAAGATAAGCGAAATGTTTTTGCGAAACTTCCTATTCGTCCACCTCGTGCTTGCGCGGGAGTTCCCAAGGGCTACGCAACCTGACAGAGGTGTCAGGTTTGAGCCCCGTCATTTGGCAGGGGACTCACACCTGCCTCTTTGCCATGTTGCAAGGGGGGTTTTCGTGCCTGTGTTTTTGCGCTAAAAGCCCACATCGTTTTTTTTGTTAGGGCAAGTTGAAAGGAAACGAGTCTCAACTATTGGGCTTCGGTTTCGCCCTTGTGCAATCAAACACGCATTGGTACACTTTCGCTAACCGCCTGAAAGTTAAAATTTGAGCGAATAATTACCCTTTGAGCACACTTCGTGCTTGTTCACCTCGATACTTGGCAGGGACGCAAACTTGCCAAGTTTGTCGAGGCACAGAGTTGAGGTGTTTGAGTCTCGTCAACCACTGCTGCGGGTGGGTTCGATTACAGGTTCTCAAGATGCAGCATCTTGAGAAAAGAGAGTTGCAACCTGCTGGTCGGGCTTTAACATGTACAAAATCGAATCCAAAGATCACTTTTGAATGTCGAAATCGATTACGGAAAAAAAAAATGTTGAAATCGGGGAAAAAATACGCCATCTTGCAAAACGGACGCAATGTACCGCGTCCTAAACAGCGTCGAAATACTCCTGGCGGGAACAGGGAACAAGGCCCTAGTGAACCGGGCCCTGATATTGTAGGCATTCACGTTTGACAGTTTCTAGAAGGATCCCAGAAGTCAGACCGCGGTTTACGTACGCGGATTGGTCCAGTGCGACTTGGAGGAACAGTGTATAGTCGAGTGGTTTCTTTATCTTATAACGAAGTAAGGCATCTGGAAGATAGTATGGTCTTTCAACGTGCAGTTGAACTGTTATCATCGAGTAGTATTTTGCAATGTGGGCAGATTGTTGTTGGATGACAGTTTTGTAGTAGCCTTTCTGTCAGGTTGCTAGCTCCTAACACATAATTTTAGCAAGTTCCTCGCTCGTGACTCGTCTTCGTCCGCCGAGTGGTGACGAGCGCATATCGGGCTCATAGACCTCGCCTTGTGGACCCTCACGACCCCCTTCACACCCCCTTCCACCCGCCTCCGCTTTCTGCGCGTTCTGCGAGCTCCCGCTCGCGTAAAGACAAAATGAGGGCCGCACGCCTGCCCGTGCTCCTTGCGCTCTCCTTCCTGCTGCTCCTCGTTGCGAGTCTGCTGGTAACACCGCTGCGCGCCGAAGATTGTGACGCCATTCTCGATCAGGTGAGGGGGAGCGACGAGAGTGACGAGACTGCGCGCCGATGAGAGGGAAGAGACTGCGCGCCGATGAGAGTGACGGGGATACCATAACTGCCCTACTCACATCACTCCTTCCTCACTGCGCGCCGAAGATTGTGACCCGCGTGGGATGTCAGTAACCGCTGTACTCACATGGACGTTCCTTACTCGGCTCGCTGCGCGCCGAAGACTGCGACGCCATTCTCGACAAGGTGAGGGAGAGATACGAGCGATACGAGAGAGACAAGGAGCGCGGGTGGGGGCATTTTGCGCAGCGATGACTGCTCCGTACGTAGGATGAGCGGTCTAAAAGCGATGAGCGCTCATCCTGCGCATGCTCCTGAATGCGACGACCAATCAGGTCTGCGCGTGGGGGAAATTTGCAGGGGGGGTGGAGTGCGAGGAGATGGTGGTTTCAAGAATCCTTTAATCCTGTCACCTTTCCACTGCCCTCCTGCATTTCCACACTGGCAGGTGGAGTCGTCGACGGGAACGTGGGAAAGATGAGATGTCCTCTTCCGCTCACCTTTCCGCTGCCTGCCCCCCTGCATGTGCCCACTGGCATGTGGAGGCGTACAAGGCGACGGTAGACAAGATGAACAAGGCGCTGGTTGAGGCGGAGAACGAGTTCCACGCGACGAGCCCTTTTCTCACATCTCTGCCCGCATGCGCTCGTGCCATTCGAGGCTACTTTTGAGTCGACTCAAAAGTCACCTCGTTACAGTGTCACACATCTTTGCCCTCATGCACTCGTTCGTCCCATTCACTCATGTCTCGCCTGCCAGGTGGAGGCGTGCGAGGAGAACGTGGACAAGATGGAGAAGGCGGAGAACAAGTCTGATGCGCCGAGCCCCTTTTCTGGCATCCGGCACTCATGCACGTGTGCCGTTCATTTTTTTCCCCACCTGCCAGGTGGAGGCGTGTGAGGAGAATGTGGACAAGATGAAGAAGGCGCGGTTCGAGGCGGAGAACAAGTTTGACGCGACGAGTGCGTTTGGGGAGAAGATGAAGGAGAAGGGCGCGGAGTGTGCGGAGAAGACAGCGAAGAACGCTGCTGAGCGGAAGAAAGAGAAGAGTGAACTGAGTAAGTTGAATGGTGCGGAATACTGGTCTTGTTGAATTGGGCCTGGAGATGAGGGAGAAGGGTGAAGAGTGTGCAGCGAAGACAGTGAAGAATACTGTTGGGTGGAGGATCGAGAAGTGCAAACTAAGTAAGCGAGGGTGAAACATGAAGAAGTTGGTAAGTAGATGACTCATAGGATGCAGGGGAAGAGTGCAGAGCGTGCAGAGAACATTGCAACTAGTGCTGTGGAGGGGAAGAAGGAGAAGGGCAAACTAAGTAAGTGAGGATGAAGGAGAACATTCGTGGACGAAGGAAAGGAACAAGTGTGTCTGAGAGGGCGGCGATGCAGTATGCTGCATTCTGATGCACGTTTCTTTCTCTTCCACCCTTTTGCACTGTTTTGTTAAGTCGCTTTAAAAGCCAATTTCCGTGCTAGTGCCCCGGCCCTTCCCTGTCTCATCTTGCAACCCACATTGGCACTGGAATGCTAGATTTAACCGTTTTGGGGGTACCTCAACTCAATGCATGCTAACTACCCCCTCCCCCCCCACCCCAACCTCTCTCCCATTTCTGTATCCTCCCTATCCCACTCTCTGGATGAACCCCAATCCCAACCCCAACCCAACCCCAACCCCAACCCCAACCCCAACCCTCAGTGACACAGGTGCTGGGGTTGGAAGGCAAGGTGAAGGAGCTGCAAGGGGAGCTGGGCATCAGTGAAGACACCACCATCAGTGAGGGCGGCATCACGGGCGGCATCACATGCGACAAGTTGCATTCCTGTCTCCTATCTGCTCTCTTCCTCTCTCCCACACCGCAGTGGCTCAGGTGCTGGAGCTGGAAGGCAAGGTGAAGGACCTGCAAGAGAAGCTGGGCATCAGCGAAGACACCACCAGTGGCGACAACATCAACGACAGCGACACCACCAGTGACAAGTAGACGTGCTCGTTGCGGATATTGCAGGCGTCGCAATTGCAGTGTCTGATCCTGACACTGAACACCTTCTGGTTGTGGCTTTGGTCAAATAGAAATAAGTGATTAAATTGAGAATTTATTCAATATCAAGAAATTGTTAAGAATGTGCGTAGGGCATGTTGTGATGATTTGAAAGGTGTTCTTGCACAAGGATGAGTGGGAGAACAATGAATGTATTCTGAAGTGTGATGGGCTTGGCTTACCATGCTGATGTTTGCCGTGATCAGGTACACTCATGTATTTGCTTCTCTGTTTGCCCTGGGTAGCTGCTAAAATGGATTTCGTGTACACTGGTTGTTTCCCTCGCGTTTTTCAAACCTAACGAACCGCCCTCGCTTGTCAGGCTCTGCTGCTCACTTTTGCCTGCCTTACATTGTGCTCATTGCGAACGAACCAACGGCTGCGATTCCGCGTCACATGGTTCCATCCAATCGGCACCTTTAGAATCAGCCCTAATGAGTGACAATGGCCCTGAAAGTTTCACGATGGGGCTGAGAATTTTGGGAGCCACATGAGTTTTGCTCCATGGGATGGGGTCATTCCTGTTTTGCATAATTCACCGTATTTGAGCACCTTCAGGATCAACGGCACCCATCGGGCTTCCCCCAAGTGCCATACGGCCTCGGGATTGTCGTCACGGCATCCCCTTGGGAATCCTGAATCCGCACCTGCTTTCAGCTGTTGCTTCCTCTTCCTGTCAATCTTGGCCTGGGTCTCGTTGGTGGATTTCCATGGAACAATCTCCCGGAGTTTAGCCTGGAGGAGGGGATCTGTTGTCATCTAAGGAAATTATTTCCCAGCCACTTGACGACGTTTCACGGATTTAGTTCGTAAGCAGTTCGTCGTCGGACATCGTTGCTAATCTGCAGTAAAATGCCAGACGACGAGTCGAAATCCGCGTCTATTCTACTGAGTGATGGTGAAAACGAAACGGTCAGCGACAATGACTGCGAAAGCAGTAGCGACAGTGAGAGCGACAGCGACAGCGACAGCTGCTGGGAAGTGGACGATGCCGAGATGTTGTCAGACAGCGACTCTGAATCGAAAACGTGCTCGAAAAGCAAAAACTCGAAGGCTGCTAGCTCCAAGAGTCTAAGGAAGAAGACCACTGATGATACGACTGATGATACATGCTCTTCTGTTTCAAGCGTCTATGACAAATCCTTATCGTTTATTCGGGGTACGTTGTAACTCGTTTTCTCGGCTTCATATTAGCCGTGTGGTCATGTTTCAAATCTGTAAGGTTTGCTTTCTTTTCTCGCTGGGATCCAATATCAGTATGCTTATCAATGCTTACCTGCCTGTCAATTCTGTCGTGTTGGTATTCTTATGGCAGCGGGAGATTGGAGCAAACTGACCGTTGAGCTCTGCAAGGCTTACCTGAAACATCATTCCCTCAGGATGAGCGGTCTAAAAGTAGACCTGATCGGTCGCATTCAGGAGCATGTGGAGTGAGTATTTATGAACCCAAGCTCATTTCATCCTGGATCACTCCGATGTCTTTTGTTTCCTGATATACTTTATGGTCGTGAAACTCCACGCAAGGTTATTACAACGTTGTCACATGCTGTAAACTTTATTTTTTCTATCCCCATACAGGATCAAGGACGTCACGTCAGCCATGCGCAAGTACCCACCTGCTTCCTTCTCTATTAACTGTACAGGTAAAATAACCTTCTCAATCTGTAAAATTCAGGAGGCGCATTGACACGCAGGTTAACGTTAAGTTCTTCTTTAAAAGCTTGTGGCTAGATCATCTATCAGTAACTCTATCTCATGTATTCTGTTTGAACATCCTGCAGGGGATGTTTGCCGCAAAGATGTCGTTCTTTTCAGGCAGCGAATATTCAAAGGGTAACTTTCGATTTGGATTCATTTCTTTGCTTGTCTGGCCGCCTCATAAGTTTAATCCGCAATTACATCGGATCGGAGTGGTCCTTGCAGGCACAGCAAGAAGTCGAAGTGTATAGGGTGTCGAATGGTGGCAGGGAGAGTGGTCATGGAGAGCTATGGTGAAAAGAAGCAACAGCACACCTTCACTGTAAGTACCACATTTTCCATCAGTGACAAATTTGTATGACGGTTATCACGACCTCGTTGGCTGGAGCACGTTCATGAATTTCAGCCCCCCGCTTGCTCTACTGGAGCTCTGACATTTCGGATGTTTGTTTCAGGTGGAGGTGATTTGGAGCACTGGCCTACAGGCGCTACCTCCTATGAAGCAGCTTCTTGTGAAGGGGAGATATCTGTACAAACACAGAACGTTTCGGCAGGTACGCTCACTGTCTAACATTTCGCAAATTCTCGTGAAAACGACATATTTGTACGCATTAAAAATTCCCAGGTAAGCTTAGAAAACAACTTCCCACTGGATAACAGATGTCTCTGGCTTTACCAGGGCTGCGAGCTGAAGCAACAATACTCTCTGCAACAGTATCAACAGCTGTTTTGCGTCAATGAATGTCTGTTCCCTTCTCCTTCCAAAGTCCTCCTGACCATCTTCCCCAACGTCCTTTTTTCTGGCAGAGATGGACCAATGAGGCAGAGCGAGTGGCTGTCATTGGAGAGAAGCACGCACGAGGAGACAAGGCTCGCAGCGTTCGTCGAAAGCGGCTGGGGATAAGAACACCCACGAGACGCTTCCCAGGAAGGCCAGGTCATCCCAGCAACAATTTCAACCACGTCGGCAGCAGGAGAGCAGAGTATCTGCCGTGTGCCACCAGGGTCCCGCCAGGGAAGGTGGTATCTGGAGCAGGCGTTCTTGGCGGATATCCTTCCTTCGGTGGCGCTGGAAGTGCAGTTAACGGTAGGGTTGGAAGAATAGCCGAGGGAGAAGCAGCAGCAGAGGCGATGCAGAGGCTGGAGGTGCGTGCAGACGGAGAGAAAAGGGAAGTGCGTGCAGCAGTTGCAGCTGGTCAGATAAGGGCAGGAGTTGGGAAGAGCGTCTACCATGTGAATAGCGCGAATCATGAGCAGGGGAAGAGGAGAGACACAGTGAGCCAGCCTCCTTCCAGGTCTCAGTTTCCCTTGGGTAACCTGCCCGTCAATATGAGTGCGGTCAGGTGCGAGTCGAGGAGCAATGACATGGACAGAAAGGGTCATGAGAGCGGAAGGGAATCCGGCGGAGTGGCAAGAAACGGCAGTTATGTGCAGCCTGCTGTGGCTGGTCGGAACTCAGTGGAAGACAAAGAGTACCGATGCTCCAAGCATGCGACCTGCACGTCATTTGATCACCGCCACCACCCCCATCAGCAGCAGCAGCATTCCCAGCAGGAACATGTGACTCATCCGCCTCAACATGCGGACATGGCAAAGGGAAAGTACGCTACTGCCAGCCCACAGGTCAACAGGCACGTTGAGATGAAGAGGGCGTATCAGCTGGGAAGGAGCATGTGGGGTGAGAGCAGAGCCCCTGCTGTCCGTGAGCATGATCGCTGGCAGCTGCAACACCAGCAGGTGCCTCACCAGCAGCCGCATCATCAGCAACCGCATCACCAGCAGGCGCATCACCAGCAGCAGCAGCAGTATCAACTGCAGAAGGAACATCACCTGCAGTGTCAGTATCAACCGCAGCAGGTGCTTCATCAGCAGCAGCAGTCTCAACCGCAGCAGGAACATCACCAGCAACAGCACTATCAGCAGCAACAGTATTACTGGCAGCAACAAAACCTGCAGCGCTTGCAGTCTCAGCAGCATCAATCGTATCAGCAGCAACAGCCTTACCAGCAGCACCAGCAGTCCCAGCATCAGCAGCAGCATCACCACCAGCAGCACCAGCACCAGCAGCCGCAGCAGCAGTGGTACCAGCAGCAACAGCATTGGTCATCTTCAGCAGCTGTGACAACATCGAGCACGCTGCAGCTGCATGCTGCTGGAACCGTGTCACAGGCTACTACCACCGTGCCACATGCTACTGCTCCCTTGCCACCAGCTACTGCAGGCATGCCACATGCAGCCTCAGCCATGTCGCGTGCTACTGTAGCCATGCCAGCAGCTTCTGTGGCTTTGGCTGTTGTGGGCCAGCAGCAGCATCAGTGGCAATGGGTACCAAGTCAGCTGATGCTGCTGCAAAGGAATCAGCAGGAATGGATTCGGCAGCACATGCAGCAGCAGCAGCAGCAGCAAGCAATGAGTTACATGCGGTAAACGGAAGTAAGGAATTGCTCACATGCCTTGCCTGCAAATGCTGACAACGGGTTTCCTTCACATATGCTAGAAAAGGTAGCAGCTTTTTGCATTGGTCAGTTTGCATACCCATTTACGAACCCATTTTCTTTTCTCTCCCTCTCGTCCCCTCTTCTCACGTATCCACAACCCGGCATTGCCTTCTCCACCTTTTTTTGCGTGACATGTTACATTCTGTACGGATAATCATATAGTAGAAGTGGGGAGCAGGCATGACCGTAAACATTTCATTGAGCATGTACATGGAGGCAATGCATAGTAACTGCTTTTGTAATTTAGGGCATCATGTACATCGCGAGATAATGTTGTGTCAACTTATACATATGTTTTATGTATAAGTTATAGGTTAGATAGGGTTATGTTCTTAGTGTTAAATTATATATGTTAGTATATAATTATGGGATTGGTAGGTGTTACTGAACTTTACTTTAGAGGGTACAACACCCCTCCTTGTATCCCTCTCTCTTCTATTCCCAATGCCCTTTTCTCTCCTCAACTTTCCTAGCCTAAAACCTCTCACCATTTTCATGGCTCCTCCTATCTCCTAGCTAAACCTCGTGCCATTCTATGGCTTCTTAGCTAAGCTAGTCTTGTGACACTTAGGGGGTACAACCCCAACCCTGTATCTCCCTTGTTCTTGCTTGTTTCAATCATTCTAGTATTCTAACATGGTATCATGAGTAGGTTAGGTCCACCCGCCCGCTTCCGCTCCGCGCCCTAGCCTACCGCGGCTCGCCGGCCCCTAGCGCGTCCCTTGGCCCCTAGCGTGCCCGCCGTTCCCTCGCGCCTTGCCAGCCCCTGTCGCGCCTAGTCGGCCCCTAGCGCCCAGCCGCCCCCCCTCTCGCGCCTATGCGGCCCCTCGCGCCGTAGCCAGCCCCTCACGCCTAGTCGGCCCCGCTACGCCCTAGCCGGGCCCTCGCGCCCTCGTTGGCCCCTGGCGCCCGAACCGCCCCCCCGCGCCCTAGCCCGGCCTCCCGCGCCCTAGACCGGCCTCCCGCGCCCTCGCTGGCCTCCCGCGGCCTCGATCGGCCCCCAGCGCCCTAGCCGGCCCCTCAGGCCTTCGCCGGCCCCTAGCGCCTTCTCCGGCCCCTCGCGCCCTAGACCGGCCCCTCGCGCCCGAGCCGGCCCCACGCGCCTTCACCGGCCCCACGCGCCCTAGCCGGCCCCCCTCGCGCCCTAGCTGGCCCCTCGCGCCCTGGACGACCCCTCACGCCCTAGCTGTCCCCCCGCGCCTTCGCTGGACCCTCGTGCCCTAGCCGGCCCCTCGCGTCCTAGCCGGCCCCTCGCGCCCTAGCCGGCCCCTCGCGCCCCAGCCGGCCCCTAGCCCCCTAGCCGGCCCCTCGCGCCCTAACCGGCCCCTCGCGCCCTAGCCGCCCCCTCGCACCCTAGCCGGCCCCTCGCGCCCTAGCCGGCTCCTCGCGCTGTAGCTGGCCCCTAGCGCCCTAGCCGGCCCCGCGTGCCCAAACCGGCCCTTCGTGCCCAGCCGCCCCTCCCTGTGCCTCACTTTCCCTTCGAGCATAGCCGGTCCCTTCTGGCACTGACGCCGGTCCCTCTACCTCCTAGCCAGCACCTACCACCTGCCAGGCCACTTGTCACTCGCCGGCCTCTTCCCGAGTACTTGCCAACCTGCCCTGACCGCTTCACCCTTTCTTCTTCCGGAGAGTTCTGCCCCCGAGTCGATGTGCTGCTGTGCCGCCTTGCAGCAGGGGAGCTATGCCGCTGTGAAGCTGTGCCGACGTGCAGCTGTGCCGCCGTGTCGCTGTGCTGCAGTGGAGCTGTACCGTTGTGCCGCCGAGTAGCTGTGCCGCAGCGAGGCTGCACGATGGCTGACGCCCTCCTGCGCCTGGACGCCGAGGGGCACGCGATCGACTTCGCCACGTGGCTCGTCGATCTTCGCCATCATCTGACAGGTCAGCGCCAGGATGGGCACTCCCTGGTTATGCATGTTAATAGCGTGCTCCCCCGTCCCCCTGAGCCTGTGCCCCTCCCTAGCTGATCCCTCCACGGCTGAGCGTGAGGCTTTCTCTGCTGCCAAACTTGCCCGCGCTATCTGGTCCCGAGATGCTGTCGCACAGCTCACCATTAGCCATGCATTTCCCCTGTCTGGGCGCTCGCGCTTCACTACTGTCGCTAACGCCAAAGATTTCCTAGATGCTGTAGTTGCACGCTACTCCATGCCTGCCTCTGCCTCTGCTGGTCGCCTTATCCTCCCCATGTTGTTCCCCGACCTTACCGCCTTTCCCACACTTACTGACCTTGCCACTCACCTTCGTGCCCTAGAGACTAGCAACCGCACTGCTAGCACTGCTGCCCAGCTTACTGCCCTTCCTCCACCATCTTGCGCTACCCTGTACCTTATAGCCATGCGCCTGCCTGACCGCTTAGCCACTGCTCGTGACCACTTCCTGAGCCAGCACCCTGGTGACCTCACATTGACTGCCTTTGTCATTACGCTGTCTGAGATAGAGACTCGCCAGCGCCCTATCACTTAGTCGAGCGGCGTTGCGGCGCTCCCTATCTTTCAGGGCTGCGCTCCCTCCCAGAGTTCGTACGCTAACGTTTTTGGCACGGTCGCTACGGCTGTCCCCGCCGCTGAGACCGCTGCTGCGGTCTCCTCACAGCAGCGTCAGCGTTGGGGCTGTCGTGGCCCCGAGGGGGGCCGTGGTGGTGGTGCTGGAGGTGATAGTGTTTGTGCCGAGGGGGTTGGGGCTTGTGTCCAGGAGCACCAGCAGCCGCAGCAGACGCCGCAGCAGACGCCGCAGCAACAGCCGCAGCAGCAGCAGCCACCGACGTTGCCGCAGCAGCAGCAGCAGCCGCCGACCCGTCTCCCGCCAGGGTATCCAGGAGCGTCTGGCGGTGGTGGTCATGGTGGCAGTGCTCGTAGCTTGGCGTCTCCTAGCACCTTCAGTCCAGTGAGTTGTCAGTACCAGCTTCAGACCGGGCCCCTGCGTGGCACTCTCTGCTGCCGGCCGCACCTGACTGCCCGCTGTTTCCGCCGCCTTGACTACCCTGTACCTTACAGCCATGCGCCTGCCTGACCGCTTAGCCACTGCTCGCGACCACTTGCTTAGCCAGCACCGTGGTGCCCTCACACTGACTGCCTTTTTCACTACGCTATCTGAGATAGAGACTCGCCAGCGCACTATCGCTCAGTCGAGCTGCGTTGCGCCGGTCCCTATCTTTCAGGGCTGTGCTCCCTCCCATTGTTCGTACGCTGACGTTTCTGCCGCGGTCGCTACGGCTGTCCCCGCCGCTGAGACCGCTGCTGCGGCCTCCTCACAGCAGCATCAGCGTTGGGGCCGTCGTGGCCCCAAGGGAGGCCGTGGTGGTGGAGCTGGTGGAGGTAGTGGTGTTGGCGGTGACAATGTTCCTGCCGAGGGGGTTGGGGCTGGTGTCCAAAAGCACCAGCAGTTGTAGCAGATGACGCAGCAGCACCAGCAGCCGCTGACGCAGCCGCAGCAACAGCAGCAGCCGTCGGCCCGCCTCCCGCCAGCGTGGCCAGGAGCGTCCAGTGGTCGCGGCGGCGGCCCTCGCAGCTCAGCGTCTCCCAGCAGCTTCAGTACTGTGAGTTGTCAGTACCAGCTTCAGACCAGGCCCCTGCGTGGCACTGTCTGCCGACTCCCGCACACGTCCGCCCGCTGCTTCCGCTGCCTTGACGACCTCTTTCGTTGCCGCTTTGGCCCGGCGCCGGACCTCCCTGATTGGCACAGTCTGCTGCGTTACGGTGTGCCTATGTTTGAGTTAGATATGGATCAGCTTAGTTCTGCCTTGCATTCTCTGTATGCAGACGCTTCTAGTGTGTCTGGACATTATTACCCTGTGTTCTCTAGCTTAGGCATAGCACCTGTGTGTAGTCCAGTTTCCCCTGCTGCTTTACGTGTAGGAGCGTTTGCTTAGTCTAGTCTAGGCTCTAGCCTCGCTTCGCCCTCGTCAGCCGCTACTGCTTCAGTGTCCTTCACACTAGACTCTGGCACGTCTGCCTACTTCTTCCGTGAGCACACTGCGCTCCCGCCGCTTGCTGCCCTTGATGCCATCGCCCTTGCTGACCCCTCGTCCGGTCCTATCGTTGCCCGTAGTTACACTACCCTTCCCTATCCAACGGTCCCCTCAGGTTGCCTTACACGCCCCCACATCCCTTCGTTCTCCAGGAACTTACTTGGTGTCGGCTGTCTTCAGGAACTCGGCGTCACCACTACGTTTCCTGGTCACGAGCGGTTTGCTGTCTGTACTGAGACCGCCTCAGGTACCCCCCTTGCGACGTTCCCCGGGACCCAGTGCCTCGCCTATTTACGCTGGACACTGCTTCCCCCCCGGTTGGCGCGTCCTCCCCGTCCCCTGCATCTACCCAGGTCGCCACTCCGTACTCGTGTCGGTCGCTTACTCACTCGTGGCTTCTGTGGCACCACCACCATGCGTCTACGCCATATGTCTTAGCACGGTCTTGTCCTAGGTCTCCCTGCATCGCTTCCTGCCCTCCCTCCCTCGCCTGCGCCACCGTGTACGCCCTCCGTCGAGGGCCGGCTGCGCCATGCTCCTCACTCCTCCTCGCTTTGCCTTGCCACCGCACCTCTTCACACTCTCCACATAGATGTTTGGAGCCCTGCCCCCGTCCCCGGACCGCCTCGCGAGCGTTACTCTCTGGTGCTTGTTGACGACTACACGCGCTACACCATGGTGTTTCCCCTGGAGCCGAATGCCGACATGCCTGACCCGTGGGTCGTAGCTGCACGCGTCCACTGTGGTCTCCCTATGCTGTGTCTCCACTACAACCGTGGTGGAGAGTTTGCCTCCAGTCGGCTTGGACAGTTCTGTCGTGCGGAGGGCATCACCTAGTCGTACACCCATGATTCATGCCGGTGCACCCCATTTTCTGTGGCCGTTCGCTGTTCGCTATGCCGCTCACCAGCTTAACCTGTTGCCGCGCTCCGAGCGGCCGCAGGTTTCGCCGACCCTCTGGACCGGGTCCCCTGGTGACACGTCTGTGTTTCACGTCTAGGGTTGCCTTGCTCACGTTCGTGTCTCTGGCACGGACAAGCTCACTACCCGCACGGTCCCCTGCGTCTTCCTCCGTTTCCCCTTTGACTCGTCTGACTGGCACTTGTACCACGCGCAGTCTCACCGCTTCCTCCACTCGCGTGACGTCACTTTCGACGAGTCCCTCTCTTTCTACCACCGCTTTCCCCACCGCGGTCTCCCGGTCTCCCCTCCCCTGTTTCTGGTTCCCACTCCCCTGGTAGCCCCTGCTCCACTCCCTCCCTGTCCTGCCCCATCTGGTGTGTCTCACGTCACTCCCCTCCCGTCAGTTGCCCCTGTCGAAGAGTTAGCTGACTCTGGTGTCCCTGCGGCACAGTTCTCGCTGCCTCCTCCTCCTCTGGTGTCACCCT